ACAAGTATAAAATCTATCTGATTTCTGTATCTATTTCCTGGTGATATCCAAGTGTATAGTCATCTTGGGTGATGTTGAAAGCCTGTATTAGTAACAAACAGGTTGTTGTCTATACAAAAGTGTAGCAAGCGTTCTTCTCTGTCATTTCTTTGGCCAAGTCCATATAATCCGACGGTCTCTCGCAAGTAATGATCTTCTGTAGTTACACCAATTTTAGCGTTGAAATCGCCTACGACTGCTGTGATTTCTCTATTTGGAAGCTTCCTAAGCGTCTGCTCCAACGTACTATAAAATGTTTCGATTTCTTCATCGTGAGCTTCGCTTGTTGGGGCATATGTTTGTACCACAGGGTTTGGGGCATATGTTAGCGAGAAAATAATTAAGGGAAAAAGTGTTGCTGCTCGGTTGTATGATCAGAAATTGTTGTACTAGCAGTATAAAGAAAAAAGTACTACATTGACGATGGACCTTAGTAATTAAGAGAAATAGATTGTCAGTATATCTGGGATAAAACTGAAATAACATTAAAAAAATCAGTAGTGGCATACGTAACAAAATTATTTTTGCAAAAAGGTGTTAAAGTAAATGGAATGTGAGCAGTAATAAATTGTTGAACAAATAACTATTAAAATCTAAACTCTTTTACTAAGTTAAATTTTTTTATAACATTTGGTCGTATTCCAGAAACAACCTTATTTACGTATTCAATACGGAGCTACTCTTGTTTTACATTTTACTACCTTACCGAAAATCAAATTCAAAAATTCGACATCAGAATGTATCACCTTGACTTTATATTTACATTTAAATTAAAATCCATTAAATTTCATACTTGTTTTGCGGTACATGGTTTTTTCGATACTCGATATTAATAAAAGTCATCCGTCGAACCTTTTTTTAAAAGTTTACAAACAAGGCACGTATTTTTTTACTCAATTTGGGTAAATTGCTTCTTTACGTAAAGCTGACTGGATTATAAGGGTCGCGTTCGTAAAATATGAACTTTATTTGAGACTCCGACTTCAAAAATAGACGTAAAAAATAATACGATGTTCTACATTGGTACAACAAAAAGAATTGTAGAATGGAAAGGAAAACTTCGTTACTTCATTTGAAAAAGCTATTTGTTTCAATATCTTAGCATCACTAGCTACTTTCAATTATAACTTCAGGTACAGGTCGATTTGAAATAGGTAGATAGATAGATCTTTTTTTTTTTATTTATTTATTTACGCTGTAACCACCAGGGTTATTAGCAACCTAAATGTAAACTACAGGTACAGTTAGAAAAAAATTACAATAAATGATATAGTCCTGAGTCTTTAAGGTAACTTATTGTGTTTTTAATGTTCATATCTTTTCCTAGGGCTTCCTTCATGTTGTTTGGTATAGTGTGCTTCTTTCTTGCTGTTTCATATTTTTTGCACTGAGTTAGTATATATTTCACGGAGAGTGTTACTTGACACGTTTCACATATTGCGGCACAGTTCGCGTAAAGAGGTGTTTATGTGTAAAGTTACTATGTCCTAGTCGCAAACGTGTTATTTTCACTTGATCGTGTCTACTCGCTGTGGGTTGGAGCCACGGTTTCACTAATTGTTTGATTTCTTTTAGTTTATTTTGTGATACACTCCACTTATTTTGCCACGCACTTAACACTTTATATTTTATTTCTGACCTAAAGTCATCTGAAGGAACCTCGTTAATGAGAATGGAGTCCTGGCTGGAGGATGCTAAGCGGGCTAGTTCATCTGCTTCTTCATTTCCTTGTACACCTGAATGTGATGGAACAAACATGAAGTCAACAGTGATCTTATTATTATTTAGGATCTCTATTTCTGATTTGATACGTAAGGAAATTGGATTATTGGTATATAAACGTTTTATAGTGTGAAGTGAGCTTAGTGAATCGGTTATTATGAGAGACGGGACTGTTTCGTCTCTTTTATGTGGATAAGTGCTTGTAATATTGCAAACAACTCCGCAGTATACGACGAAGTAATGGGATTGAATTTAAATTTTAAAGATGTATTGGGTGTAAGGATGGCTGCACCAACACCGTCTGAAGATTTGGATGCGTCAGTGTATATCTTATAGTGATTTTTATAAGTTTCCATTTCTGTTAAGAATGATTGTTTGATCAGGCCTGTTATAGTCTCACGTTTTTTATATATACTAAGGTTAGTATTAATCTTGGGAATTGGTATTAACCAAGGTGGAGAAGTTAGGAAATTTGTTGGAAGAATTTCAGGAAATTTAAGGTGTAGGTCATGAAGATTTCTTCTAATTCTTTCGTAAAATGGTGGATCTAGTCTTCTTGTACAGAAAATGTCTTTAAATCGATCTGTGAACGTATTGGTATAAGTAGGGTGTTCTTTATTACTAGCTATTTTAGAAGCATATGAGAGAGAAAGGTATTTGCGTCGTAAACTTAGTGGTGGTTCTCCTGTTAAGCATTGTAAACTTTCAACTGGTGTCGTGCGAAACGCGCCTGTAGCTATTCGTAAAGCTGTGTTTTGAACAGTTTCTAATGTTTTCAATACAGATACTTTGCTTGATGAATAAATTATTGCACCATAGTCGAGTTTGGATCTAATTAAAGATTTATATACATGTAATAGTGTATTTTGATCTGCTCCCCAGTTTTTGCTGGAAATAGTTTTCATGAAATTTAGTCCTGCTTGGCATGATTTTTTAAGTTCTTCTGTATGTTTTTTCCAGAAGAGCTTTTGGTCGAAAACCATACCTAAAAATCTGATATTATTTGTGAAACTGAGGGTTTGATTATATAGCTTTAGATGTGGAATTAAAGTGTTATGTTTTCGTGTGAATAAAATACATTTAGTTTTTGTCGGTGAAAATTGTAATCCGTAGTCCTAGACCATGATTCTAAATTATTAAATGTTTGTTGTAAATGTTTTTGAATAGATGTAGGGTTTTTTTCCTTTGGCAAATAAAACCAAGTCATCAGCGTATAATCTTCCTTTAACAATCGGTGAGCATTGTTGGAGTATGTCGTTTATGGCTATTAGAAAAAGGGTTGAGCTTATAACTGATCCTTGTGGTACTCCATTCTTTTGAACTTTTTTATCTGAGTTAGCGTTGTCTGATCGAACTATGAAGCTGCGAGAATGAAGAAAGTTGGAAATAAATTTTAACATATTGCCTCTGATATTCCAATTATGCAATTTTGATATGATATTGTATCGCCAGACAGTATCATAAGCTTTATTAATATCAAAAAAAACTGCCATACAATCTTGCTTATTTGCAAATACTTCATGTATTCCTGACTCTAAGTCTATTAGGTTATCTATAGTGGATCTATTTTGCCTTAATCCGCTTTGTTGTGGTATAAGGAGTTTTTGTTGTTCTAAATACCATCTCAGCCTTTTATTTACCATTTTCTCTAACACTTTACATATAATATTGGTTAAAGATATTGGTCGATATGACTCAGGTGATGTCCGGGATTTCTCAGGTTTAAGAAGTGGTAGTATTATTGCTTCGGACCAAGTTGATGGGAAAACCTGGTTACTCCAGATAAAATTATAAAGGTCTAGTAATAAATTTTTTCCATTGTCTGGTAGATGCAGTAGAAATGCTAAGGGGATACCGTCTGGTCCTGGGCTTGAATCTTTGGAAGAGTTTAAGGCTTCAGCAAGTTCTATGAAGGAAAAAGGAACGTTAAGGTTGTGAATCTCATGTCCGTCGAATCTCAATACGTTTTTTTCTACGTTGTTTTTATGAATTTTAAAATTATCAGTGTAATTTTCGTCACTGGAATTTAATTCGTATTGGTCTGCTAACAAATCTACGATTTCTTTTCTATCACTAATTATTTTGTTATTTTTTGCTAAAAAAGGAATTTTATATGGTTGGCTTTTGCCAGAGATTTTCCTTAAATTTCTCCAAACTGTACTTATGCTTGAAGAGGTATTAAGAGATGAGATGAATTTTCTCCAGGATTCTTTTCTATTCTTTTTTAGAATGTATCTTGCCTCAGCTCTTCGTTTTTTGTAGTCCATTATGTTCTCGTCTGTTTTATGATGTTTTAGTTTATTGAAAGATTTCTTATACGCTCTTGTAGCTTGGCTGCATTCAAATGTCCACCACGGAAGAGGTTTATGTTTTTTTAAAATTTTCGTTTTTTCTTACATACGTCTCTGCGGCTGCTGTGATGATTTGTAAAAATGTGCTTAAAAACTTGTCAATATCGTTTGATGATGTAAAGTTGGTTTGGTTAATGTCCTGTTCGATCTGTTTGCTAAAATTAGTCCAATCAGCATTTTCAATATTCCATTTTGAGATAGGCGATTCGATATTTGTGGTTTTTTGATGCGTTTAAGACATTATAATGGGGTAGTGGTCACTACCATATAAGTAGGGTAGAACGTCCCATGTTAACGTAGTGGACAGAACTGGGTCACACAGCGAAATATCAATTGCCGATGATGTGCCATTATGTATGTTGAATCTGGTTGGTCTTCCGTCGTTAAGTAGATTCAGATTTTGGGATGTTATAATATCTTCTATAATTCGCCCTTTTGGTTGAGTTTTATGGAACCCCACATCGGATTGTGGCAGTTAAGATCTCCAACGATAATTCTAGGTGAAGGAATTTGTTCTAAAATAGCTGTTAAGTCTTCTTGGGATATAGTTTGATTTGGTGGGATGTACATATTACATATATAAATCTTTTGAGGTATATTTATTGCAATAGTTATTAATTCAATGTTATTTGAAGTTACTGGTAACTGCCTGCTCATGAAATTTTTCATCCACGTAAATTGCTACTCCTCCACTGGCAATGTTTTGGTTTAATCTGTTATTATAAAAACATGAATAATTACGAAAGTTATATACATGGTTTGGATTTTTAAAATTTGTTTCCTGTAGACAGATAATAGATGGGTGTGTTTCAGAGATAATATGTTTTAGTTTTTCGAAATGGGTGTAAAACCCATTTAAGTTCCATTGAAGTAGAGAAGTGAATGTAATTATTCTTTAGAGGAATTATTTATCGATGAGTCGGAATCTTCTTCCGACAATGGAGTTTTCACTGCAGAGAGAAGACATATGTATTTGCCAAGTTTTCGTATTAATTTGGTGCTTTTGGTTTTCATTCTTCTGTCGATGTAGTATGGATGTAATTCCGATAGAAACTTTATAAGTGCATGAGAGTCTTCTGAGTACAATTTTGTTACGCTGATTATGTCTTTTGATCCTTGTATATTTTCGAATAGATCCACTACTTGATCGAAGCTTAACAATTGCTTTTCCCTTTGTATATATTCTCTAACTGGTTCTAGTAATGTTTGGAGATTTGGTATATCATTTCCTAAATTTTTGTCATCAGTTTTGGTTTTTTTCTTTAGTTGAAGCTTAGGTTTTTCAAAGTTTTCTTCGGAGGGTGGTGTGGTTGCATCTTATAGGGTTCTTTTTCCGGTTGCTTTGTTCGAAGTTATTTGAGGTTCGTGAGAATTCAAATGTGTGTTTTTATTTGGAGGTAAGTGTTGACTTGTTTCGGGTAAGGTTGATTTATGTTTTTGGGTATTAGAAGATGACTCAGACGATGTAGGTGTTGCGATTGTAGTGTTAACTGGAGAAGTGGTCAAATGTATAGATGTATTTTGTAGTGAGCACTGTTGGGTTTGGTTTATTGATAAATTTGGGATTGCTACTGTTTGTAATGTGGTTTGAGAAGACGTGGTAAGTGTGGAGGGAGTGGTATTTGAGATTGCGGGAGTATTTTGTAAATTATCTTGTTGAGTATGATTTATTGATGAATTTTGTCTCATTTCTGTTTGTATTGCACTATCATTGTGAGAATGGTTAGAAGGTGAAATATTTGGACAATTAGCTGCATGGTGTCCAGTTAATTTGCATTTGAAACAATTTTCGTTTTGGGCTATAAATATGCGGTATGATGTTTGTTCCAACTCGATAATAAAAGATTCAGGTAGTACAAAGTTGTCTGGAAAAGGTGAAACGAAAATTTGTCTTCGGAAGCTTAGAATATGACTAAAGGCAGGATTGGTTGCTCCTATCTGTAGGTATAATATGTCTGAGAGGGATTTAAACCTAGTTTTATTAATTCGTCCATTATTAAGTTAGAAGGTATGCTTGGACATTCATTGGACAGAATTAAGCGGACTGATGGAGTTATTAATCTTCTCGCTTCTAGTATATTTCCATTTACTATTATCTTCTTTGTTTCTGCTATGAATTTATCTACTAGGTTTTTGGATGATAGGTATATGCATATTCTACCGTTTGATATACGGGATGCAAAAATTATATTTTTCGGTTCTGTATGCTGACTCAATCCTTCAAGATAGTCATTAATTGTACAATTTTCTAGAGTGTTAAATAAAATAGCTTGATCTCTGCCTGGGATTAAATATACTACGTGGTTGACTAACTGCTTTTGAGTATGATGCATTTTGTGGTAGTTGACTGGAAGATGACATCTTTTAAATGGATTTAAAATCCGACTAAAACCGGTGCTGTTTTACAGCTTTCGTTGTTATACCAGTTCATAGAAATTGGATAATATTTATAACTAGTTGCAGTTGTTTACTTAAATATATAAATCCAAATATATGAAAAAAGTATATATTATCTACTCACGATTCCAATATTCAGTATACAAATCACTTTCACTTTTATACTTAATTACTTTTAAATATACTTCAATAATTACTATTTAACGAGCACGATAAATTAGTGCCTAAAACACGTCTTACTCGCTTGCTGGTCAAACATAGAATCATAGATAGATCTTTATTTAAATAGAAACCCCTTATAAACGTACAATATAAAGAAAGTACACTATAAATTTTTGATATATTGTTTAAGTAACAGTTTGAAATTATTGAGACTAGTACATTTTTTACAAATGTTTGATTAAATTTAACGAAGCTTTTAAAAGAGCGACTTCATCGTACTTTGATACATAGTTTTAGGTACATATATGTCATCTAAACCTAGAATATTATAAGAATATATACTTTTGTTGAAAGAAATGAATTCTTAAAAATATTCAGGTGATTAGCCATTTACTATTTTGAAGACCAAAATAATGATGAAATAAAACAGTCTATTTTCAACAGAACCAATTTAGAGTATTTAACATCGTCCCAATTAGGGTACGACGATTTGTTTTAAGAATTATTCTCATTCCACGGTTCTGTAATTTTTGTAGCATGTTAAGTTTGTTAAGGTTGAATAAATATAAAATTGATGAGCAATAGTCAAACTGAGGTTGAATAATTGTGTTATATACTGTTATTTTTGTTTCCTTTGATAAATTTTGAGATATTCTACTCAGAAAGTAAAGTTTTTTTGATATTTTTTTATGAACATACTCGAAGTGACTCTCAAAATTCAGAATATTGTCAAGCTGGAATCCCAAATATTTAACTGTTGTGACCATTTCAATTTTTTCATTATTAATATTACAATTTATGATTTCAGAATCAAGCAAGCTATATTTATGTTTCGTAGTGAAAACCATATCTATTGTTCATTTATTGAATAGCTAAATCAAAATTTTCATCACTACAACAGATTAGAGTATCATCGGCAAAAAGATTAATAAATTCATAAATTACAAAAATATCGATATCGGTAATTTACAGAATAAATAAAAGGGGCCTAATACACTACCTTGAGGAATCCCTGTATTACTATCCATTTCAGATAACAATTGGTCTCTAAATCGAACTTTCTGTTTGCGATCTTGTAAATAATTTTCTAACCACGCAATTACTGTACCTCCTGTTACCATACTGTTTAAGTTTAGAAATCATTATTGCCCTCTCAATGGTTTCAAAAACTCTTTTTAAATCAAGAAATATACCGACTACGTACTTATTTTTATCTAAATTACTCTTTATGTGACATAATGTAACTTGTAGCGCTGATTCACAAGAGAATTGTTTTCGAAAACCTGATTGATTATTAATTGAAATTTTATTTTTTGTGACATGTTCGAATAATTGTTCATAAACAGCCATTTTTTATATTTTCTTCAGCTTTGAAGTATTGGGTATTTTTTGAATAGGGGTGATAGTACTTATTTTTAATACATCAGGAATTCTACCCGTAGTAAGAGATGTATTAATTAAATTTAACATAACGTGCCTAATGGTTTCAAAAATTTCCTTTACCATTCTACAATTTAACGTTTTATGTAGTGAGAATTTATTATCTAAATTGCCAACAATTTTTCGCAAATCCTGCATAGAAAGCATTTCAATTTTTTTAAAATTTAAATATGGATTACTATTTACATTACACATTGTTTCAGAACTATCAATACTTTGAACAATACTTTCAATGCTTTTAACAAAATACTTATTAAAACTGCTAGCTATTTCTGTATGTAGGGTAAATCGCCCAGTTAGCCGGCCACTACCAGTTCTCGGTCATTTTCAGACAATATAGTGAATAAATTAGAAGTTTTGAGTGGAACCGCGATTTCTGAGATATACCTCACTTCAGACTCCCTTTACCCCCCACTTCGCACTAAACGCCATTTTTGCAAGCTTGCGTATGTAAAACAAACGTCATTTAAAAGTTGGCTATGGACGAAGATGTATACATGTGGTCGTTATTTAAAAATTTGTTAGTGTGCACCCCATGCGGAAATAGTGATTATTTTGTAAAATACTGATTCTAAAGGTAAGTTTTTATTATTTTTAGATAAGTAATATGTTCAGCTATTGTTATATTTAGAGCCAAACTGATAAATCATGAATTTTAAATGTTTTGTTTGGTGGCCGGTAAACTGGCTTAATTAAAACTGTCAAACCATTTCTCGACCGAGGTGGCCGAGAGCCGGTCTTAAAAGCAAAATATTGTTTGTCTTCGTTTGTGTCACGACTTGATAATAAGTCGTAACCATTTTACCGGCGTATGTAAGACAGTTAGTACTACAAAATAGCCAGTTTTCGGCCGGGCTATCTAAAAAAACGCGGCAAATAAAAAAGTTTAAACTAGCGACCGAGAAAAGGTAAATTGGCCCTTTCTCGGCCATTAACTTTAACTTTAAAGGTTTGATTTGTTTTTAATTATTTTGTATCTAACTACGTGTTCTTTTAAATAAATTTGGGAATCCCCAAAACTGAAAAATATAATTTGACGCAAAATACTTACTAAATTATTCTTTTCCAGATGGCCACCACTAAGCACAGCAAAAAATTAAATATGTCAACGCAGGCAAGAAAACTGTTCCGGTACTCGGAAGAAAATTTAATGCTTGCACTAAATTCTGTAAGAGAGGGCAAAATGAGCACAAGAACGGCTGCGAAACATTATAGTGTGCCCAGGACCACTCTCCAAGACAGGGTGTCGGGGAAAACCCCAGACAATTTACGTAAAACGGGCCCAGAGCCAATCATGACTGTCGAAGGAGAAAAACGCATTAGGGATTGGGTCATAAGTCTGGCCAAGTGTGGATTCCCAATAAAAAAGCAAGAACTAATAGAAACAGTAACTAAAATAGCAACAGAAAACGGAAAAATTGAAAAATTCAAAAATGACAGGCCTGGAGAAAAATGGTATATGTGTTTCATCAAACGGCACCCAGAAATACGATTACGTGAGTCCGAGAGTATTAACAAAGCGAGGGCAGTCATCACGAAAGAATATATTAAGTCCTGGTTTTCAGAACTAGAACAGTTCTTAAAAGAAAACAATATTATGGATATCATGGAAGACCCTTCCCGAATTTTTAATGGCGATGAATCAGGTTTTTCATTGTGTCCGAAAACCGGAAAAGTTCTTGCTCCCCGTGGATATAAAAACGTTTATTCAATTAAACAAGGCAACGAAAAAGAAACATTAACAGTGCTCGTAACATTTAATGCCAGTGGTAATATATGTCCTCCACTTGTTGTTTTTCCTTACGTGAGGCCTCCGAAAGCATTGATAAATAATATGCCAGAGAATTGGGTGCTGGGAAAATCTGAAAGTGGGTGGATGAAAAGCGACGTGTTTTACGAATATATCTGCAATGATTTTAACCAGTGGCTTAAAGACAATAATATTAAGAAGCCAATAATATTGTTTATTGATGGACACAGATCACACCTTAATATATTTCTGAGTGAATTTTGTGAAAAAAATGGAGTAGTTTTGTATGCACTTCCTCCAAACACTACTCACATCCTACAACCGGCTGATGTTAGTGTGTTTAGGCCATTAAAACATGAATGGAAGAAGACCATTCGACTATGGCAAAGTGAACAAGACGTGAATACCGCTGTCACAAAGATAAATTTTTGTCAAGTATTTCAGCAGGCGTTAGATAAAGCAGATATGCAACCATGTATTAAAAATGGCTTCCGAAAGTGTGGCTTGTTTCCTTTGAATCCAAACAATGTTGACTACACTAAATGTGTAAAAAATGAATTAGAAAGAAAACACGATAGCATGGAGCATGCAGAAAAAATAAGCTGTGAGGAAGCCCAAGCAGCAAAAAAAGTCATTAAAATTTTAGAAAAGAAATTAAAAAATAGTGGTATTAACACGGACATAATTTATAAAGCAATAAATGATATAACATTTGGTGTTAACAATGACGGAAATGTGAGACAAGAACAAAAAAAGATACATGTTATAAGCAATATTACCATCAATAAGCAGGATACGATTGCGGATAATCTAAATACTTTTCCTTTGGAAGTAGGAACCGTAGTACCTATGGAGTCACTGCAGATTATTCCTGTTGAAGAAATAAATCTAATGGCATTCGATAATATCTCTATAAATCAGTTCTTTGAAGAACCCCAACACGAAGTACTAAATACTGACAAATATGATGCTTGTGAAATGGAAGCGTTGAATGGCGATTGTGCTCGTTATTGTACTATAGAACAAACTAATAATGGCGAACAGAAAACTGACAAAGAAAGCGTTAATATTGAACAAAAGGTTGAGCAGGACAAAGACAAAACTAAGGAGAAATCGGAAGAACTAAAGGAAAATATTGATCCAGATAGTCAAAACGACAAAAGTAACATTGAAGGAATGGATGAAAATGACTCAGTAAATGATAAAAACGAACAGCCAGAAAAGGAAAATGAATATACCACTAAAAATAAAACAACGGAAATTCAATATAAAGAAGAAGAAGAGAGATTTGTGAAAGAGAAAGGCAAAATGCATGAAAAATCTGAACAAAAAAAAGAAATTACCGATCTAGATGTTCAAAATGAAAAAGATGACACTACACAGAAAAATGAAACAATAAATGATAAATTGGAGCAGGCAGAAGAAACAGAGGTACCAGCTTATAAAAAAGAAGAGACAAATTTAAAGACGCAAGAGAACGAGCAAAGTAATAAAACGGAATTGGCAGGAATTAAAAACAAAGAAAGAGATAAAGAAAAATGTGTATCGATAAATGTCGAAACATTTTATACGAAAAAGGAAGTAAGAACGCCATTAAAGAATCTACAAACTGAAGCTGAAACTAAGGACTACGCACCAAAATGGTCCCAAGAAAAAACCCCTACAAAAACTGTGGAAGTTAAAGAAGTGTTAAGCCCATTTTCTCGTCATCTCAGATTTCCGGAGCCTATAAAAAAAGGTTCGGAAAATAAAAAGAAAGAAAAATTGCCGAGTGCTATCTCGTCCAAAGCGTGGAGAAAACATATCGAAAAGCAAGAGCAAGAGAAAAAGAACAAACAAGAAGCGCAACAGAAGAAAAAAGATGAAAGAAAGGAAAAACAAAGTACAAATAGTTCGAAAAAAAATAAAACAGCAAAAAAAAATGTATCCAAGAAATTGAAACTGATGTGTTCTCTTTGCGAAGACGAATTAATAAGTGATACAGAAAATGATTTGTTGAAAAACTTAGGTTGTGATATATGCCCTAAGTGGTTTCATTTAGCTTGCACTGAGTTATCTCATTTATCGTATGATGAAGCTGCAATCAAAAATTTTGTATGTAGTTCGTGCAAATGAGTTTAAAGACAATCAATGCAACTTTAAAAGTATTACTACTGTTTTGAAGAATACCTATACTTATTTTTGTTTAGTTTCAAAGTGTTTTTTGTATTTGTTAGTTTTAAAAATGTAGTGTATACTTGAGCATATTTTACCGCTTACATGCAATAAAGTTGCTAGGTATTTTGTTATTATTTTCTACTTTTATTTCAATGTTTAATTAACATGGTCGAAAAAAGGGGGTTTTCGGCCACCCGACCGAAAACCGGCATGTCCATGGCCGAGAAAAAAACCACGTGGCCGAGAACTGGCAAAAAGCACATTTTTAATATTTTATTTAAGGAAAGGAAACTAAATAGATTTCTCATTTTTGAATGGACATAAATTAGTTTAGTATACTACAGGCTATCAGATAAAATGATCAAATTTAGAATTAAATCAATCAGGTCTTTTTAAACGTCGGTTTAATGGGAAAATTCAGTTAAGTGGCCGACAACTGGGCAATTCACCCTATATCTGTTTGTTAACCGTTTTAGGCCAGTAGTAGTTTCAAAGATTACAGTTTCTGGCATTTCTCGACTATTATTATTGATTAATTTTTTTAAACTCTTCTAAATTTTTTTTGGATTTATTCCATACCTGTCTATTTTGTTAAAATAGAACGGCTCTTTTATCAGCTTTAACATATTTACTACCTCATTTCTATGTCTCTTAAAAACCTGCCATTATTTTTTAAAATCTTTATAAGCAATATCACAAGGTTTAATTTGTTTAAACACCTTATAATCAAACCAAGGTAATTTTGATTGAAACTACCATTTTACAATTGCTATT